AATAGACGTCGGTTCCTGTAACTTATTCGCGAAATAATCGGCATTACGATTAACTACGTTTCAACGAGCCGATTAGCCGGCCCGTCCGTCGCGTGACGTTTAACCGATACCGTCCGCGCGTCCTCTCCTCCGCCTCTTCTACCTCTATTCCTCTTTTCCTCCGCAGATGGACGGGACAACCGACATTTTTCCCCGGTTTCAATTTTCCCGGTCGAAAACTTCCCCATTCGTCGCGTCGACGTGATTGGATCCCGATGGAACGCTCGACGCGTCGTCTTTCCTCCTTTTCTCAGGAAAATCCGCTGTCTTCTCTCTCGTTGGATCCTCCTGCGTCAGTCTGTATCTAATCTTGCATCCGTTGCTCCCAAGAGCGTTAGATTTTCGATTCCGATCAACGAGGAACGGCGGTATTCGACGCAAGAAATGATTCAAACAAAAGGAGAATCTCCATCGGTTAACCCTTTGAACTCTGTAGGCTCCAATATTGCACCAGTTCTAATATTAAATATTTGAATGAATTTTAAGAGAACTACCTTAAGATTATTAGATCTTCCAAATATACGAAGTTTGTACTGAGCAGAGAAAGGTCTAAGAAATGTTATAACATTGTTGATTTTCAGTAGGACTACTATCAAAATTGGTAGGAGTTACATATCACAAAACTATGTAGAGTGGTACGGGTTAAAGCGTCGGCGACGATCGCCAGTGTTCCCAGGACCGCGTCGCGCGCTTCAAGCCTCGCCAGCTTACGCGAGATGTTCTCGAGGAGTTCTCCATTAGGAGAACCCCGCGCAGAACGCCAGAAATGTTCGATAGAGCCGTCTCGTCTAGTTTGATCCCCGTCCGTCGAAAATTGGAAACCCTAAACACCCATTCCTCTGGGCGAGCGGACACCGGTTGCGGAAAATCGCTCACCGATTTTTCGCTTCTTCCTCTCTTCCTTCTAAATCTGAAAGATCAGCTTCGATACACGACACGCGTTTATTCTCCGTCGAAAAGCTTCGAAACGATGAGCCGCGCGGCAGTCACGTATAAACCGCTTGAGACGACACCCTTGACGGAAAACGAAATCTGCGTTTATCGCTGGTCGTCCGAGGAATATTAATTACTTATCTATGTCCCGTTTCTCGCGTCTTTTCGCGCTCGGTCGACGAGATCGATAGGCTAGGATATATTGAACACTTGCCTGCTGGCTCTCTCTCTCTCTCGCTCTCTCTCGCTCTCTCTCTATCTATCTATCTATCTGGCTCTCTCTTTCTCTCTCTCTCGACGGGTTAGGTTATCCGACCTCTGTAGGGGGACAGCTACATTGCAGCTCATGCATAATACATACGATCCGACCTGGAGTAGATTTATATTTACCCGCAGCTGGGATAATTCGTTAAATATCGACAGGCATTGCCGGCTCTTGTCGAGCTTTTTTCGCCTGGACGATGATTCGACAGGACGTTTTTCCTCGGTTTCGTATCGAGTAAGTATTCGATCTCTGGCGGTGCTCCTCCCCCGCCGTTCCCGTTCCGTTCGGTGGCGTGTATCGGCTGTCTCTCCTTCAATTTGCCCCTCTCGTCGGATGGAACACGATCGGCGCTCCTTTAATGGATAATATCTCGTTAGTCTTTTTCCACGGCTCACGCGACGTCGACGTTGACGTTGATGTTGATGCCGATGTCGCCCGTGCGAGATATATTTCAATCTTTTGTCGGCGCCACCCGATTCACGCGTCCAACGCCGGCCCGATCGGTCGGTCTCTCTCGCGTTCGCGTTCTAATAATTTTCTAACGAGAACCCTCCTCCCGGGATCATCCTCTTTTCCCCTTTTCTCGACCACGCAGCTGATTCGATGCCGCGCTACCCGACCGAACTCGGAAACACGAAAATCCGCCCCGACTAGCAGTGCGGCCGCCTGTGGACCAAACCCGAAAATTCGACTATTCGAACTTATCGTACCTTATAAGCTATCGAGTTTTGTTCAATCGAAATCTTGCCGAGTTCGTATTCGTCCCTTGCCCTATCTACCCGGGCAGCGTCTGATGTTTCGTTGCGTATTAAATATTACGCGCCTAGAGAATTTCCAGCTAGATAAACGTAACAGTGTTATCCGAACAGCTAGGCCTAGCTCCGACGCTCCTCTACAATACTGTAACGTTCATCCGCGTGGACGAGCGGATTGTTTGTCTAAGATCTTTCTGTCGCCGACATGGTAACAACCGGGACGGTTCGTCGCTGGGAGGGTTGGGTATCCAGCCACCCTCTGTTCACGCGTGGGCTGCGCGATCGCGGGGATTCCTCGGACTCACAAACATCCCAGAAACGGAATCCGAGCAGTGGCGTCGCGCGTGAAGCAAACACGTCGATTCTTCACCGTCCAATTACCGAATCGCCGATCAAAAGGTTGCAATAGTTGGAACCGGACTCGAGTCCGTCCCGTCTTCCGTCGTAGCCTCGTCGAAAATAAAGCACCGTGCAGCAGATTCTCTGTGTCTGGATCACAGTGGCGACGGGTCGTCGACCTCTCCCTCCGTATAATAAAAACAATACATATTCGGTCACGTGTTCGGCGGCTATCGATACTCGGTCACCTACGCGTGGCGGAGCCAACTCGAAATAACGATTAAATAATTGAGAAGGGGCGGGGGAACGAACGGTCGGTTCGCACCCCCGCGCTGAATAGAACGGAGATGAATGAGCGGGCAAATATGTATTTAAGCGAAACAACAACAGGTATTTTTGACGACCCAGATACCGATCGATCCGAGCGGTCGAGCGGCCGAGCGCAGCCCGGCCCGCGCGTCTAGCGGTTCGGTTTCGGCTGCGAAAAGCCCTGAATCGCCGCGAAATATTATATAACGCCGCAAATAACCGAATTCAAGGCGTCAAAGCGAAGCTGAATGCGGATCCCTCGATTCAATTTCATTTCGCGCAGCAGCTGTCGGACGGATGCCTCGCGAATAACTGATGGAACGTAACCGCGCGCGCGCGAGCGAGCGAGCGAGCGTCGCCGCCGTCTCGTTTTGACCGGTTAACGTCCAACGTCTCGGCTCGTCGAGTTTATCCGCGAAGGGTCTGACGGAAATCTCTGTTCTTCGTGAATTTCCGTCGTTCGCGATCTTCAGTTTTCTAGACAGCTTTCGCCCCTAAAGATATTCTTTACTCGTTCCTTTCGGTTCAAGTCGATCTTCATATTGTCGTGTTCAGATGTTTAAATCGGTTCCGTCGGGCGGTTCGAATATCATTCGAATTTCGGATGCCGCGACGATACGCGGGTAAAGGTTAACAACCGGAAGGGAAGCGATGTAGTTTAGGTAATAATTGATACGCGGAAGCGAGACGGAAATCGGCCACGGTGAACCGGCTTCGAGCGGATTTCGGATTCGCGAACCGTGTGCACGCGCGCACGCCCGTATCGAACATTGTTATTCGGCTGGTCTCGATTTTGGCGTTTTCACCTTTGACTTTTCCCCCGTGCCGTTCGTTCGCCGATGCCGCCGCGGACGCGAGGAACCCTGGAATATTTCAGTGTTTTCTTATCGATCGGAATATTTTTAAGATTGCCGGGTATCAATCTGTGTCTTCTAATTTCTCTTCTCGGCGGCCGCGCGAACTTTGATCGGGACGGGACGATTTTTCGCTCTTGACCGACATACGGACGCGTATTCGAGTACTCGGCCCATCGGGGGAACTTCGAACAATTCGAACTTTCCCATTGGCGCGTTTCGAAATGGTCGAAGCGGCGTGCTCTGCAGGAAATTCGATCTAACGCAAGAAACCGATTGAACGTCCAACAGCTTAGATACGAAGCGTCTCATTTCTACCGTGCTTTCGCCTTATGCGACAGGCGTATTTTTCATTTCCGAAATCTGACGTTCTCGCGGTATTAATTGTGGTTTTATTGCATCGGTATCGGTTGCTTATCGACGATCAGAGTTCGGCGAGCGGTAGATGGTAGGCTGTAAACGCTATCGTTATTTTCATCCGGCGTCGTACGCTTTAAGAAACCGTAGCGACACGACCGGTGTAAAACGTTCGTTAGATTCTTTAACCGCGCGTTATTTCTGGCCGGCGAAATATTAATACGGTGTAAAGGTACCACCACTTTTACGCGCGGCTGTCTAAACTTTTTACGGATGCGATTTACGTCGGCCGGCCGACGCCATTTAATGCACAGCCCCGCACAGCCGGCATTTATGAATGACCCGTGGTAGCGAGCGACACGCCGGTGCGTTTCCAACCGATTCGCTTTCCCATTCTTCGCCCGTTTCCTTTAATAATTCATTTGTTCGGAACACACGTGGGCGAGGGTCGAACGAAAGTCGCCGAGTAGTGCGCTTCGCGTCGCGAGATACGAATTCATGAAAAATTACGGCAATTAACGCTACCGTGGATAACGACTCGTTTCAGTTTTATTTTGCAATCATCGAAACCAATGATGGAAACAACACCTATACGGTACATTATCAAATACATTAACCTACGCATACCGATATTATGAGTGATCCTAATCGCAAATATACCATAAACAACGAGTTAAACATTAACATTCAAAAGACGAAGGACACTCAGCCGAGTGAACATTCAAAAATCAATAACAACCGATTAAATGGTTTCCCTCCACATGCGCGGTCATTTGAAAGCATGCGTTCGTATCGGTTCGAGCCGCAACCGGAAACCGGGCTGCGAGTGTCGAGAATCGAGAATCGGGACTCGAGTCCATTCGAATTCGTTGGAATAATCGTAGCGCGAGCACGATTCGCTCGCTCGCCGGTCGAGTTCCTCCGGCTGAAAATCGAGAATAACGTCGTTGAGCGCGCGGTCGAAGCTGGAATGCCAGCACGGCTGTTCTGGCCGCTTGCGGGGCGCATGCGCGGCGCATATAGCGTCACACCAATTGGCCGTGCGGCGTCTGACGTCGGTGGCTCGGTGGGCCAATCAACGGGCGAGCCTCGCCGACGTTAGTTCGGCGTGCCGAGGCGAACTTCAGAGGCGAGGTGGACCGACTGGTATGTGCGACACGGCCAGGCTCCCCTCCCTTGCGCCGCCGCCTCGCTCTCTCGCTCTCTATTCGTCGGTCTCTCTCGGTCGCGCTCGGTCTCGGTCGGCCTGTCTCTCTCTCTCTCTCTCGCTCCCTCCGTGGTGTGTCGGTCTTCCCGTGGACTCTGACTCGCTCTCTCCGTGGCTCGCGGCCTCTCGCTCGCGCGGTCTCTCGCTCTTTCTCTTTCTCTCGTTCCCGTGTTCTCCACGCGACTTCCTCAAATCTTTATTTCAGGCTCGACCGCGAACTGGTCGAGGCGCGCGGCCCGCTTTTTTACCGTCCGATACGACGCTTCTAAATTTGAATCTTCTACGGAGCAGTGCGAATCGACGGCTCGCCGCACGTGAAAAATATTTTAAGAAAGCCGTGCGTGTTTCTAGTCATCGTTTCTAGTCAGCCAGATTATTCTAACCTAGCTAACCTGATTTTCTGGGTGAGCTGCGCCTCTCCGTGGAATCGCTTCTACGACGGGTTTGTTGTGGCACGTTTACGTTATAAACAGAGATCCTAGGACCGTGCGAGTGATTGAACCGAACGGGAAAAAGTATCGGTATATATTCGTGCATCTGTACGCGTGTATATATGTGCGTCACGTATATCGAAGAGGAACGGGGATAAGAGAAGAAGAAGAAGAAGAAGAAGAAGAAGAAGAAGAAGAAGAAGAAGAAGAAGAAGAAGGAGGTGGAGAAGACGAAGAAAAAGGGAAACGTGGAAAGAGAAAGATCGGGATCAAGAAAATTTTCTATCGTCGTCGTCGTCGTCGTCGTCGACTTCGTGTCCGTCGTCGTCGTTGTTGCAACGAATACGTGTTTGACGAACCGATGAGATCCGGCGTGCGAAGTGACGCGTGTTGATTCAATCGCCAGAAACGAGTGCAAGTTGACGAGTGCCAAAAGGTTCGTGCGTCTTGTTTCTACGTAACCGTTTTAAACAGAAGTTTTGTTTTGATCTTAAAGTTGTACATTTCGCGAGGGTGTTAGTGGGGAGATATCGATCGCGGGACCATTGACGTCCGTTCTGGAGAACGAGCTTTTCTCCTCGCTCCTTTGACTAGACTAACCTCCCGATAATTGTATTTTCTCACTCGTAGCTACATACGTACCGTATATACGCTATACGTGATTCATATATACATACACACGTACACACGCGTATATATATACATATCATATATATATATATATATATATATATATATATACACATATATCTACTACACACGCCACATATCCTAAACGCGCGCGCGCTCGTTCGCTCGCGTGCTGTGTGCGTGGTGTGTGGTGTGTGTGCGTGCGTGTGTCGTGTGTGGCGCGCGCGCGTGGCTCTGTGTACGTACTCGTCGCGTACACGTACGCGATATGTTCGACGCGTGTACGTCGCATTCTGTGTGTACCTGCACGCCTGAGAATTAGATGGTCGTTGGCAAACGAGAAGTTTGATAAAACGAAAAGAAAAATAAAAGAAAAAGGAGAGCGTGCCTGTTACCGAGTCAAACTGTTCTGTGACCGATGGAAGCTGTACCTCGTATCTCCGGTTCGACGTTCACGGGAACCAAGTGGATCTTCAAATAAATGTAAAGCCGCGCGGACGACGTCGGTAACCTTCATGATAATCTACGGCATAATCGACCAGCAGGCATACCGCGAGACCAGCCTTTTTTCGAGATAGATGGAAATACATTAGATCGAGGAGACGTTTCTGGCTGAACTACGTCGTCGAACGAGTGACCGACTGCGATCCGTCGATTAACATTGTGATTACAACATCTGTGAGGAGTGCGCGCGATCTCGCCATCTTTGTTTTCATATCGATTCAGTGCGCGCAAGAAGATCGATCGATTGGTGAACGGACGTCGAGATGTTCGACTGATCGAGTTCGTATCGAGTCGGTGAGTTATCGAATCTAAATCTATCCCGATTTATCGTCGCCGAAGTAATATCGATTTTATTCTCAATCGGCGATACCCGTCGCTTCGAAATTCCCGCGCTTCGTTTCTCCTCGTTCCTCTCGTTGCACGCGGGCCTGACGTTCGATCGAGCATCCGAACGAACCAGCGATCGTCGGAACCGTCCGAGTTCGACGTATCGCGAGGTCTGCGGAATACTCGCGGAGTCTAACCGCGATAAAGCTCTGTTATCGTGACCCGTATCGAAATCGGCACGTCGATTCAGAATAGTCCGACCCACCGACTTCTAGTCAGCGTCCCGCGCCGTGAGCCGGCTGCCATTCGAATTTCCCGCCAATTCTTTCGCCTCCGATCTCCGCTGATCGGATTAATATTCCCGCGCCGTCGAAATACGCCCGACAATAGAGAAAGGGATACCCTTGTCGCGGTAACCGGCGATCCGGTTTCACCGAATCACCCGGTAATTTCTCGTCGCCGGGAAATTTGAATCCATACCGAAGGTGGATGGATCGGTGACACTCGTCGGAAGAAACGTTCGATGAGTGGTACACGTACACGCTCACGTATAGGACGTACATAGAGGAAATACACGCTGGTCGCTGACCCTCGGCTCTCGTTCCACGCTGTTGTATTATAAACCGAATTCGATCGGACGACAGCTCGAGCCGGCAACCTCTTCCTCCAGTTCTCGCCGCGTTCCACGTTTCCCGTGTGTGTCCATTGTAGTCACCGGAGAGAGAGAGAGAGAGAGAGACAGCTCTCGTTTTCCACGGGAATCGACCCGGTCGCGGGCCGATAATCGTGAACCCGTTCGATTCGGGAAACCGCGGCCCTTATTTTCGAGCACGCTCGCCGGCGTGTCGTTCCATCGGGTTGCGTTCGAAAATAGCCCGCAGCTTTTATTAAAATCGCGGGGCATATATTTCCGGACGTTCGCGGGTACACCTGTTGCGAGAAGGAGCCGACGTTGCGTACGCGTCCGTTCGTACGGGTGCATATCTGGGGGGTATTTTTAGGTTATGTTCAAAGTACGAGACGTCTAAATAAATGATCAAAGGATTTTTGAAACGTGGGTCAGCGCGCATCGATTCGCTAGATTACGCCGGGGGAATTCTCCTTTTCCTCGGTCGCAGTTCTTTTAGCGGCGCGCTATAGTTAGGTTAGAGACAGGTCTATGCCATCTGGTCGATGCCACTCGGCGAGCAACGTCCCGTCCCGCGGCGGTGCTCGCTTTAATTTTCAAAAATTGGAATTTTAGTAACTAAGCGTGTTTCGAACGCGATACTGTTGAGAAAGGTACCGTTAGAATTTAATTAATCACTCCGTTGTTACGATTTAAACGTGAATCCTAGATACACGTTTATCTTTCCGTTTTCTTCGGTTCGCACGGCAGCCCGCGAATCGGTTTGAAGCAAAGGAGCACTCGAATCGAAAGGGAAGTCGATTAGTTCCGCGCGAAAAGGAGGAAGCGCGAGAGCGGCGATTGGTCGATCTCGATATCTCGACGCGTTCGAATGGAGCGCGCGGGACGCGGCCCGTCGCGTACAATCGTTATCGGCGGCGAAGCAACATAATTTCGCGATGCAGAAGATAGCCGGTCGCCGACAAAAATAACAACGGTTTGCCCGTGAAACGCGCGCTCGCGTTAATTCATATAGCGAGAGAGATCGCGTGCTCGGAATGAATGAAAGGGGGGCTTCGGTAAATATAGTTGATGGAGCTTAGAATTAGAACGAAGTTAAAGCCAATGTTTTTACTAGTGCCGGCCGACCGACACTCGAAATGCTCGAGTACTCGAGTAGCTCGAGTAGGACTCGAATCGCCGGATAGATCGATCGCGCGGCTCCCACGCTAATCGATATCGTCGGGCTAGATTCGATTCGGTTTCGTTCCGATTCGATTCGTCGGAGAAACGGATATCGATTCGAATGGACCAAAGTCGTTAGGTTAGTCTTCTCGCGATACGTTACCGTTTATCGTGAATTTCTCCGACGCGATAAGTAGACGATTAAATCTACATGTCACGCTTATCTTTCTCCCGTCTCCCTTTTCTTTTTGCGCAGAGTTCTCTGCTCGCTTGGGACAAACGAATAGAACAGTGGCGCGGAATAAGGAATATCCCGTTGCATTTCGAAATTCGAGTCCACGAACGGAACATTGATACGTCGGACGAGATTGATAGACGAATGGTGTTCGAGTCGAATCGATACGAATCGGCTTCCATTCGAAATGTTGAAAACGAACGTTCGAATGGAGCGTTTGAAACGGCGAACGTTAAGTTGGTCGATAGGACAGCCGGCTAGGTAATAATCGAAATGAGACGAGACGACACGACTAGCCGTGATAGAGCTGGACGTAACGAACGTAATTCCTTCGAGACGCGTTCTATCTAATCTGGTCTGATGCAAGGGTAATTCGACTTTCGTACTCATCTGTCGCTGACATTGCTGGGGCCTTCGCTTTTATCGGCGATTAGCTCGATGAGCGCGACCGACGACGATTACCAGCATCTCCGTTCTATTCGATACTAATTGTTTCGAGTTCGTCGTCGGCTTTCCTTCGTTCCGAAAACGACGGACGAGGTAAACGAACGTTTTCCTTGAAAAGATTCGTTCTATCAAAGGACGACGGACAAAGCTGCGTAAGAGTTGCCGATTTTCGTACCGCTTCGAAATACTGTTACGATCGAGGCCGATATTCGCGAGGCTGCTCGCGAGAGCATCGAATTTCCGGCGGTTCTCCGAGAAATCGCTGGAAACTGAAACTCAAGGCGGAAGTAAATAATTGGGACGTCGGCGCAATTAAGAGAACGCCTGGCGAACGAACGATCGATCGCTTTCCGTTTTATCGTCGACAATTAACGTGCGTAATAATGGACTTTGTCGTCGTAGCTTTTCTCCAAAGTGCAGCCACCGGGTAGAGCACATCGAATTACGCTCGCCGCGGTATCTCGTGGCAATTTACGGGTAACGACGACAAACGGCAAAAAACACGGGGAGAGAAAAAAAACCATAGGAAACCGGGGGAAAACGTTGCACCGAAGACGTTTCCCCTCGAATTACAGGGAGCTCTATCTACGCGAGAGAGAAACTTTGATCGCGATCCACGGTTGCTCGCTGTAATCGGTCGGCGATCAATCCGAGCGCGTATAAAACCACGAAAACTCCCCGCCATTATTTCATACGTACGTTCGCGTTACAAATTAATGTACACAGCGTATCGAAGCAGCCGAATGGTCGCATTTCTGGGTGGTTTTTCTACCTTCGCGATTATCCTCTCCCCGAGCTTTCTCTGTTCGTTCCGAGGCGAATCGAACATTGAACAAAACGAAACTCGCTTTGTTATTTCGCCGCGAAGATAAACTCGTCGGCCAACATTGTTTAAACTGTTCGAAACCGTTCACCGAAGAAGGCATTCGATATTTAACTCTGAAATATTCGAAAAAACAAGGAAACGCGTTGATCCTATATCGTTCGAATAATGAAATTACTCGCTGGCAACTTTCTACTCTTGATGTATGTAACGCGAACCAACATATTCGACGAAACTCGAACAAAACGTGTCTGGAAAGGGAGATATTCTCGCTCGGACTGTAAATCAATTGAAATATCCGCAATATTCGCCCGTGAGAGGTTCGAATTTCTAAACGAAACTCGCGGATCCTCGAATCGTAGCTATTCCGCGCCGCTTCCGGCCTCCCGTTGCTCGTCGGAGCGCGTTCGCGGCGGAATTTCAACGGTAAATATCGTTGTTCGAATTGAATCGAGCAACTTTCACGATTCATCTGTCTCGAAAACAAAAAGAACCGGCCGGCCGGCGCGAGATGAGACCGAGGGTGGAAGAGGCGCGTCGCGCGAGTCCCATAGAAAACCGGAGCTGGAGTTGGCGACGCGCGCGACAGAACTGGACCATGCGTTGAAACCCGACGGGCATAAAGCGCGCGTCGCTTTTCCGCGTATCGATTCACGCATCGACGACCGGATATCGCGGAACGGATCGTGCCTCGGCGCCCGGACGTTTTCGCGAATCCGCGAAATCGTCAACGGCTCCGGGAAAAATCGCTTTCCTCGATTCCAACGAACGCGTCCACGCGCTTTCGTATTTTCGCTTACAAACCGTTCTTCCGCCGTGACTACCTTCCTTTGGTCGCTCAGATTAATTTAGCTAGTTGCTGAGATAACTGAAAAATCACTGAATACACTTGGCAAGTTGCTAAGAGTACATTTCACTTGTTCCAAGCTTAATTGAGTCGCACAGAAGCCAATGCGGTTCAATCTAGAGAAGAAAGATTGAGAGCATTAGTGTTTTAGCTTCTGAAATTTATATCCGATATATTCAGAAGCCAGAAAAATACTTTCTGACCTAGAACAAACGAAGAAACTAAATCGTTTAATAACTAAGAATATTATGTATTCCATTGAAATCTTGAAAAATCAGGAAACCAAAAAATCGACTTAACCGCATTGACTTCTGTGCGACACAATTGTTGATGTCATTTCAGTCTGTTGTTAAACACGGAAATGGAGGATCGTATCGACGTCCTTCTTTCCGTTTCGTTCGCTTCGGACGAGGAACAAAAGCAATAAACCGTTTCGCTTTTCTCTGTTTCAGCGTTTCTAATATTCCATCCAGTGGTTCCGAAGAGCTGTCCCTTCTCCACAACGCCGTGCAAAAATGGGTCGGAAGAAGATTCAAATTTCGCGCATCACGGACGAACGGAATCGTCAGGTATCGTCGTCGGCGATCGTTTCAGAAACGTCCATTAACCCGCTAGATTTCGCCGACGAAATCGATTCGCGGAGAAACCGGACCGATGTTTGCATATCGTTTAATCTCGGCCGGATCGCCGCTCAAAGTATTTGTCCGCGTATCGCCGATTCCGCTCGCGTTAATCGCGAAGTTGCTTATCCGATATCAAACACGCCGTTATATCGATATCTACGCGAGCGTTCGTTCACGTGTCGAGTGCGTCTACTGTCTTACTACTGTCTTTTATCTTATCGGAACGCTCGTCTATGCTAATCGAATTTCGGTCGCTGTCGAATGGGAAACTATGTAAACAAATAATAACCGAGCAATCGAGCGTGCAGGTGTCGCGCTGTCGAAAGAAGAACTCGCGCGTCGCGAATGTCGACATTTTGGGGAGATGAGATTCTGATATTTGGAATACTAAGACTATTGTTCAAGGAATCCATGTATAATTTAGCTTCATCCGCCGAAGGTTTAGTAGATTTCAAAGAATCTTCGTCGAAGGATTCAAAGTTTGAAAGAAGGGGAACAAAGTAAACATATCGAAATAATGTGTGAGAAACATCTGGCGTTTCGTTGGATAAATGGAATTCGAAACAGTCGTTTAAGATTTAAAGTTGCTCGATATTATCTGGTTACATCTGTCAGAATTCCTTCGAATCGGTTCAGAAGCTCCGATGTTCGGTGAGCAGCATGACGACCGCCGCGCGAACCAAAAAGAAACAGTGTTCCTTGTTTCCCCGCGAATTCGGAATGATCTCTCGCGAATACGGCGATTGACGCGATTCTCTGTTCGCCGGCAGGTGACCTTCAACAAACGGAAATTCGGGGTGATGAAGAAGGCGTACGAGCTGTCGGTACTCTGCGACTGCGAGATCGCGCTGATTATCTTCAGCTCGAGCAACAAGCTGTATCAGTATGCGAGCACCGACATGGACAAGGTTCTTCTCAAGTACACCGAGTACAACGAACCCCACGAGTCCCTCACCAACAAGAATATCATCGAGGTGAGCCGATTTCTCCTGAGTAACGGTCAAGGTTCCAGAGGGGAGGCCGCCGAAAACCCGTAGAGTCCTCCGGCTCCATTCGCCGCCATCTTGCGCACTTGCCGCGGAACACGCAGAGCTCCGGATTATTCGTTTAACCCCTCGCCGCGGCGTTTTATTCGCCATTCGGTTATTTATGTAACTTTATAGAGAACTCTTTCCGCCGCGCACTGTACTCAACGTCGTCTCGTTCGTTTTCCATCCTATTCGCGCGATTACATTCGAGCGTCTATCATTCGATTCGGCGAAGAAGTCTACTGTTCATTAGAAGTTCGTGTTCGCTCCGAAGACGGAGGATCGGTAAGAGCAAGAAAACGGATATGAGCCGGAGCTCTAGCGCGGAGGCACGATGTTTCGAAAAGGAACGGAAGGAGAAAGAGAATGGAAAAGAAAACGAAAATGCCGGATCGTTTTCGTGGTACGATTTATTGGATCGGCCGGATGGTACACCGGCTATCTCGGATCGTGTACCGGTTAAATGAGAGATTTCACGGTGAAAAAATGCCCGAGCATCCCCCTCGGGAGCATCACCGGTGGTTATTAAGTTTTTCAGCGGTCGATCATCGAAATTACACGAGCTTGTTGCAAATCTGCCTGCGCGTGCAACAGGCTCTTCCCGTCGGTCTTCTTTTCCACGGGGTTTTCGATGCGTGCAACGGGTGGTCCGATTGAAACCGATTTCCTCGTCCGCTCCCCCTGGGGAAGTTCCTTTCAACGATTATCGCGGGAACTTGTTGCCTCTGTTTCGTCGTGAAGATCGCTTTGTTTCGCTGAAACGTGTAATCTCACGATTATCAACGGGTATCGTGAGAGGCACGTTTCCGCCGGACCACCCGTTACACGCGTCCACCATAATCGTTCGTCGCACGAATTCCTCGTCGCATTGGAAACCGTTTAAAGTTGCGATAATTATCCTATTATGGTGAGTAGAGCGACGAAACGAGAGTAACAGAAAATCAGGGTGAACTGCTGCTTACGTGACTCTTGCTCGGATAAAAGCTCGTAGAAGATTGATTCGATTTTCTTCGTGCAAAGTAGAAAGTCGCAGTCGTCGCGGATACAAGCGTGTTGACGCCTAGAACTACCGAGCATTCGATACGCTGAATATGTAATCGTTAGAGAAATTGTAACCGTTGATTATCTTCAATTTTTTCGGACATTCATCATAGTATTCGAGTGAAAGTATTTATTCCAAGATCATTTCCAATCAAGATATCCGTCCGTTCGGTGGTTCTATCGACGCTAAAACTACCGAGCAGTTCAATCGACTTGGAGTTCCTCCATCGAAACTTGAATTAGTTGACAATTCAGTTGGAGCGTCGTTAAATGAATCTCTCCAACAATTCTACGGAGAGACATCTGCGATCTTCACGATTGCGAGAAGAATAATTGAAGAATAGACGATACCGAGTTGCGTGGTAGTTTTAGCGTTAATCACGGAAGCGTCATGGACGGTTCGCGCGGATCGCACGAACGGCACGCGGACCGCTGTGCCGGATAGCGTGTCGCGTTGGGTGACCGTGTTACGCGATTTCGTGCGGAACGCGCGAACTTGTGTACACAAAGACGGAGTCGGAGCGAGAGCGCCGGGGAACAACGTGTCCGATATTAGAGAGAGGTCGGCCAGTTAGCCGGCCAGCAGCCTCTCCACCGTTAGCGTGAAATTAACGTGCATGCGAAGGTTGAGTGCCCTCGGGCGGTGTGGTCACGTGAACCTGTCTGCTGACACTTGCAGGCACTCAACAAGAAGGAACATAAGGGTGCCATGTCGCCAGAGAGTCCGGAGCCGGACGCGATCGAGTACAATTTGACCCCGCGGACCGAGGCCAAGTACACCAAGATCGACGAGGAGTTCCAGCTGATGATGCAAAGGCACCAGCACAACGGCACCCGGGTGAGTATCCGATTTTTCCCGGTGATTTCGTCGTTTCCGTCGACCCCGTCGCGAACGGCGTTAGGTTCCCTGGCCCTGTGCAAGACGAGGATCGCTCGATACCGATCCAGCCGATAGAAGCTGCTCCTTGAACGTCTCTCTGCCTCTAGAGAGACAAATAGGCAAACGAACGTCTTGTTACGGTAGCTTTCGTAGACAGAGCCGACCGTATTCGTTGGCCGGCAACCCTATGGGAATCTCTGGCGCAGAGTTTTCGCATGAGCTAGAGTCCGATTACCTTTTAACGTGTGTTCCGAACGATCCGGCGTGTCGGACGCGCGAATTGGCAGCGACGCCTAGCTAGGCGGTTCCAATTTAATTCGCAGCGTTCATTATCGTCTCGCGTGAACCGGTAACGCGCGAGTGGAACCATTCTATCGTTCTCGCGGAGACGTGCTCGCCTTTCGATCCGATTTCCCATCGATCAAGAAAGGAGACGAGTGTTTCATTTCGCCCCGTTTACCATTCACCGGAATAGGAGATCGGTAGTCGATGGTGAATCGGTAACCGACAGGTCGCCGAGGTCCCGTTAATAACCGTGACGTGTTTGGTTTGCTGCGATTTCAGGCAATGGGGCAGTCTAATTACACTCTACCTGTGTCCGTACCAGTGAGTAGTTTCGGCGAATCTCTACTTGGATCTAGTCCTCAAATGGCGCATACCAGCATTTCTCCGCGGCCGTCGTCTTCTGAAACAGACTCAGGTATATAGCAGTCGCGTTTTCATTCTCGAAGCCCTAGATACGACTCTGTGAACGATTGCGAACAGCCCCGCTAATATTCTGCCTCGCCTCGATGGGTTTTCAGTGTATCCACCTGGAGCGATGTTGGAAATGAGCAATGGCTACCCCCCCTCGGGATCACCATTGGGAGGTTCACCTAGTCCGGGACCTTCGCCGGCGTTAGGAGTCGGAGGAGGCAGCGCAAACAAAGGCAGCAATCCGTCTAGGCATTCGCCGCAGCCTCCGCCTCCACCCCCGCCGCCTCATCCTCACAGGACTAATCTTCGAGTAGTTATTCCAACACCCCTCACGCAACCCCTTTCCGATGACACTAGTTACGATGTAAGTGTGCCCGGGAAAGAGGAACACGCGGAGAAGGCTGTCCATAGCGAAAGCGAACTCGTTCGGTTGCCAGAATGTTACGCGTGTAATTGGCGTTTATTGGTAATTAGTCGCAACTCCGATTCCTCACCGATTTCGTTCACCTTGATGTGTTGTCAAAGTCATTCCGAACAACTTTCTCTTATTCGTAAAGAGAGTAACCCTCGTATGACCTTGATCTTGACATATATCGTTAAGGCCGTTGTTCTATACAGTCAGGACTTTAAACTTTTTAACGATGAGCATCGGTTCAAAAGTTGCGAAGCGAATTGTAACAAGTCTTAACGTTCTGAAAGTTTGAAGCAAAGGAATCAATGTTGTACACAATTGGCCAATTATTGTTTAACGTTCCATTGGTTCGTCGACAAGTAGAGTCGTCGTTGTGCTCAGTCTTCCACGTAGAATTCTGAAATTCGACGAGATAAGATCTCTAGCCGTAACGGTGATCTCTCGACGAGGTCACGCAGGATTATCCTAATCGTCTTCCTTTCTTGTTGCCCGTGGCGCACAGGGCGGCCATACACAATCCGCACTGAATACACCGGTGGTAGCGCTACAAACGCCATCGGTCCCAGCCGGATACTCTAGTTTCGGACCAACGGATTATTCCTCAGACCTCGGGAGTTTAGCATGGTCTCATCAGAGGTACGTTGATGACTTATCAATGTATTCGGCAGCCACCATGTCCAGCATCAGGTAAATCACATTTCAGAATTACTCTTGCGAAAGAAAACTATACGTTCAGTTGGTATCCGAGACCCTCTACGATTCCTCGAATCCCCGCGACACTTGAAATAGTTGGTAGAATGTCTGGGTATCGGGTATCGTCCACTGGAAGTCCTATAATTTTCTTTCTCGTTTGGATTACCGTTTGTCAGCATGAAAATAGATGATTTAAGAATCCCATCTCTCCGGGCTCCGCCTCGTTCTCGTCCACTCTGTTCCTCTCGCGCTCGAAACGCGATAATTCGCACATCCACGCTACAATAAGCCTCTTTCACTTCTGAATACATCACGCGGAACAGGATTAAAAGTACACGTGTACGTTCTCCTATCGATCTAACTCGGTCGAATAATCAGCTTCGCTAAATCACTTTGGTTTTTCCTCTAATTTCCTTCTGCCGACTGTTGTTACTCGGCGAGACTCGTTTCCCGCGGTTCCCTGTAACGCTTTGTTTTCTGATAACACATGTTGAACATTAGTCGAGGTACATTAGAACCTGGATCATCCGAACCAATGGACACCAAGATGATAGTCGGATGATAGAGAACGGTGAAAGAAATGTGAAAGGATGCAGCATTGGTTCGGAGGATAGAGGTTCTACCGTATCATAGAAGGATTGCGTAGCCTCTAATGAGCTAATTTCACCTAGCCTACTGTCCGGTTCCAGCGGTCTTCCTCATCTGGCCGTGTCGAGTAGTACACCGCCGCCAGCCACCTCTCCGTTGCCGGTGAAGATAAAAAGCGAGCCGATCAGTCCGCCGAGGGACCCGCACGGCGGCAACAGCGGCTCGAACAGCAGCGGGCCCAGCACCGGCAGCAGCCTCCATCACACGACGCTGAACGTCGGACCGTCGTCCAGCACCGGTGGCCCGCCACCGCATCACGTGCCCCACGGAGGGCCTCAGTCGTTGAACCTGGTGTCCAACCGGCCGAGCAGTAATCCACCGGCGTCGCACTCGGGCAGCATAACGCCGACGAATCTACCGTCGCCGGGCAGCGGCGCGGTGCCGGACCTCAGAACGAGTCACTCGACCACCGGCGGGAACGGCGGCAATAACTCGGACTACGAGAACGGGCCGCTGATGAAACGCTCGCGGATCACCGAGGGCTGGGCGACTTAATATTAAATCAGACGCGGCCACCACGGCTCGCTCGGTGGTTGTTCTCCTTGCGAGAAACCTCCGCGTACAACGGCGTCGTTAGTGCTCGTGAAGCTCTCCAGGACTCGAAGTTCGTAGACTCGTTATACGGTTTTGCCCACTGGTGATTTCATTTTTTTTCCCCGGTGAACGCGTGCGTGCGCGCGCGCCCGCGCGCGTTCCTAGGAACGATCAGTCGCAGCGGCGGCGGCGGCGGCGGCGTCGGCAACCACCGACTGCAGCGCCGTGTCGTCGCGGCGCGCGTTGCGTCGCAGGGCCGCCGAATCACGCAGTGGATGGAAACGGAAAATTTGTTTATATTTTCAAGCCCACGGAAGGATGATGCGTTTGTTTGACGATTTTAACAAAGAAAAAAGCAACAAAAAAACGGTGCCATAATGTTGAAGCGTTACACGTATATTGTATGTACATATTATATATATATATACATATCTATACACAATACACACACACGACCCTCTAATGGATGCACGCATATACGTATATATGTGTATATATATATACATGTACGTATGCATATTTTCATGTATATAATACGAAGTTGTTTGTATATATGTCATTAATTCATTGTCATTTTCTTCGTGATATGGCATTGTGTCCTTGGTACTTGTCGCTGCGGCGAAGGTTATTTTTCCTTCCCGAACGGAAGGAAGCAAACGAAAGAAATTGACGGGATGGGATTGGGTGGGAGGGGAGGGGGGGGGATAGATAGAGGGTGTGTGTTTTTCGAGAATGTTGAAAAGAATCGCGACCCCGGTATAGCAAGGTGTTTCGGGATAAGAGGGTGCAGAAGACAAACCGAATTTCTTCGAAGAGCTTGCGAACCACATCTATAATTTTTATGGTAGGGATTTTACCGATAATTGTACTTCGTTACTTGTTTCTTTTTCTGTTTGCGCGTTGTGGTAGGTAGAGACGAGTCCGCGGCATGATCCGTTAATTGACATTTACGCAAAAAAATGCCAATGGAAACGATGAACATAATTTCTTTGAATCGAATGCCTAGTCAGAAAATAATGATATTCGATTAGCGG